TGGCCAAAGTTTCATATTATCACAAAGATAAACAAACCAATGGCTCTTATTCCCGTGTGTGTGTGTTTTCCTAGGATGAACAAAGTTAAACATATGTCACCCAGTTAAACAAAACAATTTATTCGAGGGTTTTTTTTCTACCCAAACAAAGTTAAGCAATACACAAGTCAGACAAACCAATTTCTCTTCACGGTGCTTTTTTCTGGCAAAACAAAGTTACCAGTTGATATTTTTGGGGGAATTACACAAGGAAAAACAATTGTGTGGGTGTTTACTGGCGTCATCTTGAGGCTATAGAGACCTGCCTTGTTCTCTCACCTTACGTGGTTGTCAGTAGAGACCGAGACCGTGTTTTTTTTTTTTTTAATCTAGGTTCGATGTCAGAGCTGCGCCAACCAATCAAGTACCTCTAAGATGATACGTCATTAGCCTTCGACGTCACACCTCCTCCAACCAATCACGTACCTCATAAATTATACGTCATTAGCCTTCGACGTCACACCTGCTCCAACCAATCACGTACCTCATAAATTATACGTCATTAGCCTTCGACGTCACACCTGCTCCATCCAATCACGTACCTCATAGATTATGCGTCACTGGCCTTACGCAAATAGAATCTTTCTTTTACGTCAGAATTTCCCCGGTTCTTTTCTTCACTATAAGTAAGACAAAGTAACAAAAGTACTTAAACGTATAGAAAAGGAAAATAAGTGAAAACGTGTACAGAGAAAGGTAATTGGATTTCCTGTGTGTGTGTGTGTGTGTGTGTGTGTGTGTGTGTGTGTGTGTGTGTGTGTGTGTGTGTGTGTGTGTGTGTGTGTGTGTGTGTTGAATATTTATGTTTCTGGGAATGTCTTTTATGTGTGTTTGAGAGGGGGAGACAGACAGACACATAGAAAGACAGACAGACAGACAGACAGAATTTGCAGGGTTAAAACACTGTCCCTAAACAAAACATCTGTAAAAAACACACAACATTAAACCGTATTTGGCAACTGGCACAAAGGCTGAGTTTAAACCACCGTGTCCGAATTCCTGACTGTGACTTAAGACACGTAATAAATCCTGCTTCCTTAGTGGTTTGTTCTGACACGACTGTTGTTGAAATTGGTACAGTCTTTTGTCGTGGTAGTAAAAGAGTTTAATGTCTTAGGGGGAATGGTAAGTGAAGTATTTGTTGTTTAGGAGTTAAGTTTAAGTTGAAGTCAGAGCCAACTCCGTGGACTGAGACTTGGACAATGGGGTAAAATTTTTTGTGTGTTTTATGTGGATGGTGGAAGAGGTGGAAGGGGGGAGAATGGGTGGAGGGGAGGGAGGGTTGTGGATGGGTGGATGGAGGGGAGGGTTGTGGGAATGGGTGGAGGGAGGGGGAGGGTGGGAGGGATGGGTGGAGGGAGGTGGGAGGATGGGTGGATGGAGGGGAGGGTTGGGAATGGGTGGAGGGGAGGTTGTGCGGGCTACCAACTAGTATTTTCTCTCTCTCTCTCTCTCTCTCTCTCTCTCTCTCTCTCTCTCTCTCTCTCTCTCTCTCTCTCTCTCTCTCTCTCTCTCTCTCTCTCTCTCTCTCTCTCTCTCTCTCTCGTGCGTGTGTTTATCTTCTTGCTGGATCAGAACAAATGGATCACAACACAGTGGATCATTCCCTTGATTCTCGGCCTGAACGGAGAGGATTGGTAGTGTGTGTTGTGTTACGTGGGTGAGGAGGGAGAGTAGAGGAGGTGAGGGATAGCCTGGAGGGAAGGTGGGGAGAGAGAGACAGAGAGAGACAGGAGGAGAGAGGAAGGTGAGGAGGAAGAAGACCTTTAAGTGACCCTATTTAATGTGGACCAAACACAAACAATGAGTCATGAGCTAATACCCTTATCATTATCTCTCTTGACCTAACCTAACCTTGAGTCATAGTTACGTTTATTCACTATTGTACTAATTAGACCTTCCCAACTATCACCTAGGTACCCTGAATGAGCCCTTAATACTCTCTATATACAGCCTTCACATTACTTGCACGAGACACTGGTATAATTCAGACTAAATAACATACAGTATACAAGTTACCCCCTTCGAAGTGTTTACCGTTTTCTATGATGCGACACCATAGAAAACGTAGATACTACGTTAAGGATATGAGCAGTTAACCAACACCACTATTATACTACATGCCCTGCCCTGCCCTGCCCTGCCCTGCCCTGCCCTGCCCTGCCCTGCCCTGCCCCTGCCCTGCCCTGACCTGCCCTGCCCTGCCCTGTTGGTGGCGAGAAATGCAATAATGGCGACTCTAGTGCTGTTGTTTATCGATTACCAGAGATCTTATCCTGGGGATCTATTTATATAATCCTGTTTATTTATGTTTTGTTAATATAATAACGACCATTGATATACTTAATTAAGGTCTCCAGGTGTAAGCGATTAAGGTGTACAGCATAAGACAACAAGAGTGGGTGGGGTGGGGGAGGAAGCTTATCAGTTAGGTAACCCAAAACGAGAGGTTATCACCGCGTCACAATACACACTACGTCGTTTACATAACAGTTAAGTAGTGTTTTATACTTTTGATAGGTGTATTCACCTTTTTAGTTATACGACAAAATAATAAGTTTATACCCATATATCTCCTCATCCGGTAGTTGTCAACGAGTCTTTTATTTGAGGTTTATTTATATACCAATTCGAAGTTCTGTGTTTCTGAGTTTTTTGTTGACTTGGAAATACTTTATTAATATTATACTTGTGACTTGTGGGTTTAAGTTAGGTATGCCGTGTTTAGTTTCTCTCTCACTCTCTCTTTCACTTTCACCACCACTAACACACCTATTCTACCACACACCTTTACCACAACTACCACCCTCCAACAACAAACACACACACACACACACACACACACACACACACACACACACACACACACACACACACACACACACACACACACACACACACACACACACCGCCGCTACAAACACACATAAACACACCCAAGACTTGTTGAACGAGTCTTCAACTTCACAAATGAGGCTCTCTTGTAAACTGGACTTGTACGACGTGGAGTTAAAGTGAGTCTTATTTCTTGTCTGGGAAAGGGAGGGAAGGAGAGAGAAGGAAAGGGGAAGGGGGACAAGGGGTGAATGAGTGGAGGAGGAAGGGGAAGGGGGTAGCGAGAAGGAGGAGTGGAAGAAATAAAATGGAATGAAAAAGGGAAATAGGGGGTGGGAGAAGGGAAAAGGAAGAGCCAGAGGAGAGGAAGGAACTAGATGGAAGGGAGGGAGAATGGAGGAGAGGAGAGAAAGAAGAGATAGAAGAGACCCCCTCCTTCAGACATCATTATTTTGAGCCTTATGTTGGGTGTCAATGGGGCGACTATCCCTTGTTGTGTCAAGGTGTTGTGATGAGTGAGAACAGCTGACCCCCATTTTCATTGGTAGTTTAAAGGGATTTTCGAGTTGAAGTTGATTGTCTCTCCATCATCCTCTCTCCTCTCTCTCCTCTCTCTCTCTCTCTCTCTCTCTCTCTCTCTCTCTCTCTCTCTCTCTCTCTCCTCTCTCTCTCTCCTCCTGTAATTTCATCATATATCCCTCCCTATAACCACCCTCCCTATAACCTCACCTATAACCACCCTCCCTATAACCTCACCCCTATAACCTCCTATAACTCAACATCCATCACATCTTCGGGTTCCTGTAAGAAGTAATTATGTCGGAGAAAATAATTAGGGTTTTTTTACTATTTTTTCTCATAAGAGCTTCAGTGTGTCTGTGTTGGTATTATAAAGGAGAAGTGAGGTGTCTAGGAGGTGAGGAAATTAATTATATTCTGTTTCTCCCTCACCTCTCCCTCCCTCTCTTCTTTTCTTCCCCTGTTTTTGTGTGTGTGTGTGTGTGTGTGTGTGTGTGTGTGTGTGTGTGTGTGTGTGTGTGTGTGTGTGTGTGTGTGTGTGTGTGTGTGTGTGTGTGTGTGTGTGTGTGTGTGTGTGTGTGTGTGTCTGTGTGTGTGTGTGTGTGTGTGTGTGTGTGTGTGTGTGTGTGTGTGTGTGTGTGTGTGTGTGTGTGTTGTGTGTGTGTGTGTGTGTGTGTGTGTGTGTGTGTGTGTGTGTGTGTGTGTGTGTGTGTGTGTGTGTGTGTGTGTGTGTGTGTGTGTGTGTGTGTGTGTGTGTGTGTGTGTGTGTGAGGTAGGCATTGCCAGAGGTAGAAACGTGGTGGTAAAGACCGTAGACTTTCTCAATAATATTCTTCACCTATGGAAGATTATGTGTGTGTGTGTGTGTGTGTGTGTGTGTGTGTGTGTGTGTGTGTGTGTGTGTGTGTGTGTGTGTGTGTGTGTGTGTGTGTGTGTGTGTGTGTGTGTGTGTGTGTGTGTGTGTGTGTGTGTGTGTGTGTGTGTGTGTGTGTGTGTGTGTGTGTGTGTGTGTGTGTGTGTGTGTGTGTGTGTGTGTGTCTGTGTGTGTGTGTGTTGTGTGTGTGTGTGTGTGTGTGTGTGTGTGTGTGTGTGTGTGTGTGTGTGTGTGTGTGTGTGTGTGTGTCTGTGTGTGTGTGTGTGTGTGTGTGTGTGTGTGTGTGTGTGTGTGTGTGTGTGTGTGTGTGTGTGTGTGTGTGTGTGTTGTGTGTGTGTGTGTGTGTGTGTGTGTGTGTGTGTCTGTGTGTGTGTGTGTGTGTCTGTGTGTGTGTGTGTGTGTGTGTGTGTGTGTGTGTGTGTGTGTGTGTGTGTGTGTGTGTGTGTGTGTGTGTGTGTGTGTGTGTGTGTGTGTGTGTGTGTGTGTGTGTGTGTGTGTGTGTGTGTGTGTGTGTGTGTGTATATACTTCACTAAACCGAATCTGTCCCATCTCACTAAGAATACCTCACCCCACCTCACCTCTCCTCCTCTCACTCCTCTCCCCCTCCCTCTCTCAGGTACCTAGAGAACGTTTACGAGACCTTGCCATACTTTCTCACAACATCCTCTCCCCTCACCTCACCTCACTACCCCTCACCCACTCACACGTTCTCCGTTCTTTCTCTCAACAGATACCTGAAGAACGTGAGTGTGTCGTACGATAAGGTGTACGACAATGTGGTAGGGAAGCGAGACGAGCGGCTGAGTGTAGTGGAGTTTCTTCAGGACGGCACCAGGAAGGACGGAGCTCAAGATCATGAACCTACGAGACGCTGGTTCACTGTCCACGAAGAAATGGGAAGAGGTGAGTGGTTGTTGTTTGGTGTTTGTGTGTGGTAGAACTATATCTCTCTGCCATAAAAATTTCCAAAGGTGGTAAATGCTGTTATTGTTATTATTGCTAGTAGTAGTAGTAGTAGTAGTAGTAGTAGTTAAATGACGTCATCATCACTTGGAGGGAGAAACATTGTCACCTTCATTATCAGCATCATTATACGCTGTCGGTAAACTGACGTGAGTGTTAGCTGGTTGGCTGACACCTCGTTAACAACACACAAATGTCAGGAGAGGCTTAGTGGTGCTCTAATAAGGTGTTAGACAAGGTAATTTAACCCAATTATAACACAAGGTTTCAACCAATTATAACACAAGGTTTTAGCCAATTAGAACACGAGGTTTCAACCAATCCACCTCCCCCGCACCTGCCACTGTTAATGTCATGGTAGTCATGCTCACATGCCTGTATCAAATGTGATCACGTGTCTGTATGATAGGCTGTGTGTGTGTGTGTGTTCGCCTACATCATGTACTGACACACATTCGTCAAACGCGAGAAAGCAATTTACATTGTAATTCCCTCGGCCATCTGAATATTGCAAGGAACCACTGATGGCAACACTGTATTACGTAAATTTAAACCTGACTAATGTTGTTTACATTGAACCCACCACCCACCTTACCCGAACCCACCAACCACCTTACCCGAACCCACCAACCACCTTACCCGAACCCACCAACCACCTTACCCGGACCCACCAAGGTGAGATAAGCGTTCGGTTAACATCTGTCCGGTTAATTAGATGATCAACATATAATTAATTTCTCGCCTTCGTGTTAAATCGTACGTGGAATGAGCGCCTGAGTACACGTTTATAGTGTCGTGTTGGGTGGAGGTGCCATGTCAGTGCCAAATCTTGTGTGATTGCAATCTATTTTACTGTTGTTTTGAATACCGTGTGATTGGGGGTTTGATTCGCCGTGTGTGTGTGTGTGTGTGTGTGTGTGTGTGTGTGTGTGTGTGTGTGTGTGTGTGTGTGTGTGTGTGTGTGTGTGTGTGTGTGTGTGTGCGTGTGTGTGTGTGTGTGTGTGTGTGTGTGTGTGTGTGTGGGGCTATGACCCTCAGGGGAATTGGTTTATTGTTGATTATATTATGTTTAATGTTGATCCTATACTTATTGGTGATTGGTCTCTAACTTGCCAAATCCTCTCATCCCCTCACCATCCCTCTCATCCCTCTCATCCCTCTCACCTTCTCTTTGCCTCCTCCCTCCTCACTTATTCCTCCCACCTTTTCACCATCCTCACACCCTCCTCCACCTTCCCTCTCACCCACCACACCCTCTCCTCCACCTTCCTCACCCACCACCCCCTCTCCTCACCCCTCTCCCATCATAGTGTCAGGAAGGCAGTTCACAACAACCCATACCACTCTGAAATCTTCCTCTCTGACGTCCAGCCATATATCACATGATGTGTGTGTGTGTGTGTGTGTGTGTGTGTGTGTGCAAGAACTCAGTTACTATCAAAAACATACTGATGACATTGATGGCTCTCTCTCTCTCTCTCTCTCTCTCTCTCTCTCTCTCTCTCTCTCTCTCTCTCTCTCTCTCTCTCTCTCTCTCTCTCTCTCTCTCTCTCTCTCTCTCTCTCTCTAGGGAGTAAAGACACATTAGGAAGAAATGGGTTGTAGTGAAGAATTGTCCCCTCTCCCTCACTCTCTCCCTCTCTCCCTCCTCCCACTCACTCTCCTCCCCTCCTCTCCCCTCCTCTCACTCCCCTCCCTCTCTCCCCTCCTCCCTCCTCTCCCTCCCTCCTCTCCTCCTCACTCCTCCTCCCTCCTCTCCCCTCCTCTTTTTTTTTTTTTTTTTTTTTTTTTTTTTTTTTTTTTTTTCCTCCCCCCTCTCCTCCCTTCTCCACCACACACCCATAACTCTAGCTATTTCCTCCCTTTGAACTTTTAAGCTTTCTCCAGCCTTCTCAGCTTAATGGAGAGCAAGCTTGGGTATGTAGTGGCCTGGTATACAGATTTCGAGTTACCGATTTCAGAATTAAATTTGCTCGGAGTTACGCCATTAAGGATTTTACGTTTTGGATGATTTTCTGTTTTGGTTTTTGTTTCTTTGAGAATTTGCCGATTTCAGATTTAAATTCGTATGGATTTACAACGTTGGCGATTTACGTATTTGATGATTTACAAGTTTTGGGGGATTTTTGTAGATTTGTGTATCTAAACTTTACACTCTTCCTTCTTATCGTGTCTGTCCTACCCTCCCTCCTTCCCCCCTTCCCTCCTTCCCTTCTTCTCTCTCTTCTTCCCTCCACTCCCTCCCTCGCTTCGTCCTCCTCCTCCTTCTCCTCCTTCCTCCCTCCCTCCTCCCTCTCTCCTTCCTCCTCCCCTCCTCCCTCCCACCCTCCCCACCACCTCCTCCTCCTCCCCTCCCACCACCTCCTCCCTGCCCTTGGTAAATATCCCCCATGGCGTTTGTGTATATTTTAATATACTTTGCCTGGGTCAATTTATCAGGCTTCAGTGTTATGGAAAACTGATAGTCATTCTTCAAGCTGTGTTACCCCGGGGCACCGCAAGCTAACCCGGTTTGTTATTGTTTGTTTTCATTAAGTTATTATTTACGTGTTAAGATCCGGAGTCTCATAGATTTATACGGTAATATTCTTCCGTTTAGCGTGTGAGCATCATATGCCTCCCTTTTCCGCGCCCTCAAAATTTCGCCGACGTAATTGAAGTTTTTATAAGACCAGGATCATATAACACAACACGTCAGTACCTCATGGTGGCTCTCTCTCTCCTCCACCCTCCATTTCCCTCGATCTCTCCCTCCTCACTCACCTCACCTCCTCTCTCCCTCTCCTCCTCACCTCCCTCCACCTCCCTCTTTCTCAGCATCATCCTATTTCTACTAAATTCAGACCAGTGAGATACTGTCGCCATGAATTGTACCTGTGTGTGTGTGTGTGTGTGTGTGTGTGTGTGTGTGTGTGTGTGTGTGTGTGTGTGTGTGTGTGTGTGTGTGTGTGTGTGTGTGTGTGTGTGTGTGTGTGTGTGTGTGTGTGTGTGTGTGTGTGTGTGTGTGTGTGTAATTAATTTTTATGTAAATTTTTTCTTATTTTTAATTACATATGAAAATTTTCCTCCCATATTTAAGTCATTTTGTCTGTCTGTTGATATCAGGTTATTTTTATATATATTTTTAATTAAAGAAAGATTTAATATCTGATTTTAATTTAGTTTTTATTTCTTATAAAGTGACTAATATATTTTTATGCAATGTTTCTTATCATTTAAAAATTATCCATAAAATTTATCTTGATATAACTCGTATAAATGTCCACTTGTCTTGTGTGATATATATTTTATAGTAATTATTTTTATATGAAATTTGATAACTTTATTTTTATGTACCGGTAAATATATAAATTTTAATTGGAAACACTTGTTCGTTCGGTTTAATTTTACTGCTATTTTTGCCCGTAAAATTATTGTGTTTGGAACTGTGGTGTGTGTGTGTGTGGGTGTGTGTGTGGGTGTGTGTGTGTGTGTGTGTGTGTGTGTGTGTGTGTCGTCTCAGTTCTATTGATATCGTCTCTACTATGAATGACGTCATATCCGTTCTTGGTCTATACCCCGCCACCGCCACTAGTTCACAGGCGTTAATGGCCAGACGTAGAGGGCCAGGTCTGGTCGTCTGGGGGGACATTATTAACATAAAAACGCCAACGTTGTTCAATTTATAGCCACAGTGTTGATTTTATCGCCAACCCTACAGCCTGTGTAAACAAATATGGCGCGCTTTTATTTTTGAGTGAGTTCTATTATTTTTTTTTGTTTTAGCTTTGACGATGAGTCGTTCTGGGATCTCTTTAGTTTAGCTTAAGGTTGTGTTAGGTTAGGTTAGGTTGGGGGGGGGCTAACCTTACTCTGACCAGGTGATTGCATTATGGTGGTGTCTGTAATTCACGTTGCCAAGGCGCCACCGGTGCTTGTTAACTAACTAGGCACCGTTAACAACCTACGCCATGGCTCTGGTACCCGGTGTAAACGATGACAAGGAGCAGCTGGAACAAACCATCGTTAACAAGCGAACTGTCTTAAGATGACTGGTGAGGAGGGAACACTGTGGCTAATGATGACAGGTGTGACTCTTTAATTTAGTCAACAACGGGGAAGTGGAGTTGGTTGGAGACAGGGGAAGTGGGTCATAATGGAAGAGGGGGAAGTGGAGTTGGTCGGAGAGCAGGGGAAGTGGAGTTGGGTGGAGAGACAGGGGGAAGTGGAGTCATATGTGGACAGGTGTGTGATGAAGTCAAGTTTCTGTTCTTTTTTCACATTTTTTTTTTCGTTTATTCACTTATATTGGTGTTTGTTTCTTTGTTTTCTGTTTATCCTAATGTTTTAATCATATTTTCTTTCTCCATTTTATATAATTTATTTTAATCTATTTTGCTTGTTCGTTATATTCGAAATCATTTTCGATATATAAACCATATAATTCCAAATACAATTCCCATTCCTAAATTGCGTTCGATTCCAAAAACTTTTACGTTTCAAGTCATTAACGATTTCGAAATTGATTTTCCTTCTCCACGAGTGCCTACTCACTATTCTCTCTCTCTACCTATCTTGTCTTTTTTGCCTACAGTGTCCTTGACGTACACAAACACACACACACACTGTGAGTGAAATGGGCCAAGTGTTAAGCTTAGGACAAATTGTTGCCACTACACCACACTACACTGACTGTGGCGGCGCTCTGCTGTCAAACACAACACACTTCGGCCTCTCTAACATATATTCACCTCACCTAACCAAATGATCACCTCACCTCACCTCACCTAACCAAACATCACCTCACCTCACCTTACCTCACCCAAAACCTAACCTCACCTGACCTGACCTGACCTAATCTAACCTCACCTCACCTCATCTCACCTCACCTCACCTCACCTCACCTCTCATCTCCCTACCTCATCTCACCTCACCTCACCTCACCTCACCTCACCTCACCT